AAACATACATACATACCTAATTTAAGTCTTAAGTGCATAAATCAAACATATTTTATGCAGATATTTTCATGCTGTCAATCAATTTTGAATATATAAAAATACAATACACATATGGACATATATATATAATTTCTTAAAAGTTGGAAGGCAAGCACCGTAGCCTTTTAAATGAATCACAAATTGTCAAACAGACATTTCCGTTGCTGTTCCACACATTAACATATACACGTATGTATGTGCTAAACATATTAAATAAGTTGTATATGTACATATCTATGTAGATACATAAATATATTTAACAAATGAGAACTGTTGAGTCAAGCACAGGGAACACGACAATGGTGGGTTGAAGGGTTTTTTCCTCCGAACTGTATGATTTTAACCCCGGAGAAGCAAATTGACTTTTATATAGGAATACAATTCCTCGGGGCTGCCGCTCGATAGCTCAGACGGCCGTTCATTATATTATTGTAATGTGCGTAGCAGAATCCATCCAGTTTAAAGACATTGAAGAGTCGTTTAGCAATGCTTCCCGAGGTGAAATCTTAGGTACGCCAGGTGGCCTCACCTCAACTCCGGATGATGGTTGCCTGTGCAGTTAATACAGCGCTCGTAGTGAGGAGTAAATTCCTATACACAATGTGGTAGCAAGCTAGGAGGCCACTGGTCTTGCAGTAAATCCTTTTAGTAAGACTTGTATTTTTCACCAATCTCGGAAGCGAATTCTCATTCGATGGCATTTTCGTTGTATGGGAAGATGAAAGCTTGAGAACGGAAAACTGCTCTACAAGACAATAATGGAAGAAAGAAAGATAGAAAACAACTGGCAACTTTGCTGGTACTGGCGAGAAATCCGGCCTTTTTTCTTAAGCACCATTCCGAATCTACATAATTATGGTGAGGCTTAGCTTGTTTTACTCCACTTTACGCTTAACGCTATGGGCCGTATAGTAACGCCAAAAAAGTTGCTTCGAAGGTCTTGAGAGGGTCGATTAAATCCGCTTCGAGCTACCATTAAGTGGTTCCTTCTTCTCTACAATCCCTTTAAGGGAGGACTTAAAAAAAATGTAGTTTCAACTGTCTATTTGTGGCATCTGGTTGGTCGTCTCGAGTCTAGCATACTCCGAAGTTTAATTTCATCCTCTTCGAGCTGCTGCCGTGGGGCTCCTTCTTCTCTACAATCCCTTTAAGGCAGGACTAAAGGGGAACAATAGCAGCTTGTCTCAAAGTTGGGCGCGTGAGTTCTCTGTCGACAATTGTCCATCAGTAGGAGATTCAGAACGTTCTAGAACCTTTCAGACAAAGCTTGCCGCTATCATAGAAATGGTGCACATCTGCTTCATATCGTGGTAGCCAATTAGACAATTGGCGTTGAGTTTCCTCATGGTAAGCTCCGAAATTGTGAAAGAATGTTTGTTGCAACTGCTTGCTTGTGACATCGGCTTTGTCGGTTCGAGCTTAGGATTCTTTGAAGTTCTTGTAAGGGTCGATTTCCTTCCTACCGAGTTGGCACAGAGTGGCTCCTTCTTCTCTACGATTCCTTTAAGGTAGGACTAAAGGGGAAAAGTGCAACTAAAGCAAAAGATGAGCTTAACTTCTTTACATATGGTTCGAAGCTAGACGAAAAGTACGGCGCAAGAGTTCTGTGCCGAGAATTTTCCATCAGTAGATGATTCAGAACGTTCCAGAGTCTTTTAGACAAAGCTTGCTACCATCATTAAAATGCCTTGGAGCCTCGTAGGCAGATAGCTAATCGGCATTTAATTTACTCATAGTGAACTTTGGTATTGTGAAATAATGTTATCAAAACCTGACCGTGACCTCGGCTTAGCCAAGATTAGCGATTCACTAATTGTTGAGTGAGCATCACAATAGACTTGCCCTCTGTGCCTATGTAAGATCTCTGCTTCTACATAAGCTCACGTTTAGTAGTTTAGGTTACTGAAAACGATTTTCCCATTGTGGTGAACTGATCCCGGGCAAGAGGGTGAAGAGTTTAATTTTTGAATACCGTTCAGTGAATGGCCTTTAAATTAAGTGTTAAGGGTACATGTGGGATGCTCTTGAGATCAGCCACTTACGCTTTGTATCACTTATAGTACAGGGGAATCTTGAAACTGAGCTTCTCTATAGGTTAAACTGCTATGAGCTGGTTGCACCTGCTTTTCTACTACAATAAATGGGCTTAGATTTCATATTCTCAAAAATGACGAGAAGAGTGTCTGGGCGGAGGATCTTCAGTGAATGAGTTTTCAGGCTCCAAATCGTTAAATCTTGCGCTGCTCAAGTGAACTGCTTGGTGACATTTCTGTCATTCAGAGCATTCTGCCAAATGATCGTAATTTTAGGTCGAGTGGATGATAGCTGGGTTTTTTGCAAGCCGGAGTGTCAAACAATGTCAATACTCCAAAGTAAATATATTTATAATATATCCCAAGTACCTCATAATGTAGTGATTAGTGATTTTGCGCCTAAATAAATTTCAAAAAATTTTGCCTAAGTAAAATCTACACATTACCAGGTCAACGCACTCAATCTAAAACTAAATTACAACAAATACATATTTATTGTAATTACAGAAATTCTTAAACTAAATACTATAAACTTATATGTATACATATATAAATATAAGAACATATGTTCTGAAATTCATATTAATTTTATCGCCCCACAATGAAGCTCTCAAAGCAAACGCCCACATGAGACGCTCTTCGCTGCCGCCAATATGAGCACCATTTCTGACGTCCACTTAATTGGCCAAAAGAATTTAAAAATTTGTATTTTTGGTTGGCTTCCTAAGCGAATCTGCTTTGATTTGAATATGATATCAACAATTTCAGCGTCAGCTCATAATTCTTTTAGTTTTTTATTATTTTTTTCATAAATATTTAAGAATAAAATATTGTTTGCTAAATATCTGCTGACAAAGCCAGCGAGACACAAACGCTTAGGGGTGTTGAAAATTATGTAGAAGAACTATTACTGAGTCCATCGTATGCTATAAATTGTATAGAAGAAGGTGTATAGCTCTGTATGTACAGGGTTTTCCAATAAGAGTTGTAATTTTGATATTCAAAAATGGCTTTTTTTTAACAACTGATCGGATGTTTATTTCAATGTGAAAAGGATGATGATAAAGTCATAATTAATGGAAAACAATATCAGCCAAATGACCGCCAATTTCCAACACCAAACCGCAAATTGGCTGCTGTATGTCCTCAATAGCTTCAGGAGTTCCATTTTTGACGTCTTGAAACGACGTTGGTCGTTATCTTTCATGTGACCCCAAAGAAAGTAGTCGCAAGGTCTCGGTAGTCAATTTCGAACATCTCTTCGAGAGATGACAAGGTGTGCAAACTTATTCCTTAAGAGATTGATAGTTTTGTTGCTTGTGTGGCACGTAGCGTCATCTTGTTAAAAGTCCAGATCAATAGCATTCAATTTCGATCATAAAAAATCATCATTAGTCATCTCTCGATAGCGCAATCCATTCACCGTTAATGTTGCTCCGATCTCACTTTCAAACAAATCAGATCAAATTGGGCAACAAATCTTGGGTTTTCCGTGCCACAGATGCGACAATTTTGCTCATTTTCGTTAACGTCGAGATAGACTTGGGCCTCATCAGACACGCTGATTTTTCGTTGAAATTCCGGATCATTTTCATACATTTCAAGAACCCAATCAGCGGAGGAACAACGTCTTTGATGATCCGTCGGCTTGTGTCCTTGTATTTACTGAACTATTTAGGCTTCAAGACCCACGTCTTTATGGAAAATACGGTGTCTTGAAGTTTGTGGTATGTCCAAGTCCAAAGCATGACGAGTAGTGGACAAACCTGGGTTTTCATCAACACTCTGTGCTACAGTAGCCATATTCTCAGTTGTTCTTCACAACACTAACTTGTTCCAAGAGCTCCATTTTGTCCACCAATTATTTGTATTGCGGTCCGACAGATGGCTACACGACGACGAGAAACATTTTTTTAGTTTTACGAACCGTCTCTGCTAGGTTTTCAAAATTTTTATAGTGATTTTTGATGATATCAGTGGTTTGTTGAAGGTTAGTGGTGTCGCAGTTCTTACTTGTGAAAGGTCAAAAATTTACATCTACCGGAATAGTAGCCTATACAAAATAACACCTCTTATTGGAAAACCCTGTAAAAAAAGAGACGAGTATGTATAACAGTAAAGTTATTGCTAGATGAAAGGGAAGAGCAGACTTTTAGCATCTCCGGTCATTTGCTTTGGGTATGCTTACAGTAGCTAGTAGCTTTTGATGCCATGCCGGAACCGACAACAGATCACCAATCTAGCGGTGTCTTCATTTAAAAAAGTACAAATACATATAAGTGAGTGTATATGTCACACATGACAACATTTGTCACCCGATGTGAATAGCTTGACTGTTGCTGTCTGTCACCGCTGAGCTGTTGCTGTTGCTGTTGCTGTTCCATTATTGTCGTCTTCATGTACGTGGATTATGTGTGTTTTTGACATTAATAATTTCAACTGTGGCAAATGCTTATTTTTAGATTTTCTAACACAAAATGTTGTTGCTGCGCGTAGATTAATGTTAGAAGATTTAAATATACTCATATATATATATATATATATCTTCCTTATGTATTCGTTAGGAAAACTGGGACAACGAATTCCATAGAGATTATGAAAAAGCAAAAATACAAATTCCCGCTAGTCGGATCGTGAAGACACAATTTGGAAGAAAAAATGGCTAAAAATTATTGTAGTAGAATTTAAAGTTTCATTTTATGACTTTTAAATAGAAAGTCATTAAACACAAAACATACATATATACATAGGTGGAAGCCACTTGAGTGAACATCTATTTAAATCAACCATAAATTCTTGGTATTTTTTTTTTTTTTTGATATTTTATTATAATAAAAATCTACTTTTAATTGAAATTTTACTTACGCAGTAATTATACGCGTATTTATGTATTTAGAAATGTATGTTTTTGGCTTTTGAAAAGGATACAATTGGCAAGGCAGCATTACGAAAATGCACTACAGTATATGGTTCGTTAGGCGTTGCCACGTCCAGTAGATGGTGTTTGGCACGCGACTGTTCCTCTTTTGTTGCTTTAGCAGTGGCAATGTCCAGATTGGCATAAACCTATAAAAAAGAAGAAGAAGAATTTCGAAAAATCTATAAAGCATACATATTATTCGCAGAAAAATGGAGTATCAAAACATACGGTAAATATATGCAAATACAAAAAAAGTAAATAAAATTAAAAAGAATTGTAAATAATATATTTTATAATAAAAAAAATTAAAAGAATTATTAAATATTTTGCAATTTCTTCAGCTTTTCAAAAGAGAGAGAGAGAGAGAGAGAGAGAGAGAGAGAGAGAGAGAGAGAGAGAGCGGGAGAGAGAAGGAGGGAGAAATAGAGAAAAAAGGGAGAGAAAGAGAGGGAGAGAGAGGCAGGGAGAGAGAGAGAGGGAGAGAGAGGAGAGAGAGAGAGAGAGAGAGAGAGAGAGAGAGAGAGAGAGAGAGAGAGAGAGAGAGAGAGAGAGAGAGAGAGAGAGAGAGAGAGAGAGAGAGAGAGAGAGNAGAGAGAGAGAGAGAGAGAGAGGGAGAGAGAGTGGTTGTTTGAATCTACGAACCCCTCTCATGTCAAATAAATTTCGTTCGTAATAAAAATCTCTTTACTTTACAAGGTGCGTTCCAAAGAAAACAAGACTTAAAAAAAGCAGAACAAATGGTTTTATCGGCAAAATCAATTAATTTTATTCAAAATAGTCTCCTGCTTTAATACAGATTTTTGCACGGTCCAAAAGCATGTCGAACGAGTATTTTAGTTCGTTGCCCGGTATGGCCGCCAGTATGCCGGTGCAAGCTTTTTGAATGGCCTCCACGTCTGCATAACGCTTTCCTTTCATCATTTTACGCATTTTTCCAAAAAGGTAGAAGTCCCACAGTGCCGTATCAGGTGAATCCGGGGAGTGGTGGATTGTTAAAATGTGATTTTTGTGCAAATAATCGGCCACAAGCGTCGATCGATGAGACGGCGCATTTTCGTGCAACAAACTCCTCAAAACTCCAAAGTAGAATACCGCATTGATGTTTTGGCGGGGTGGAACGAATTCTTTGTGGACAATACCCTTGGAATCATAAAAACAAATGAGCATTGTCTTCATTTTTGACTTCTCCAGGCGCGATTTTTTGGGTTTCGGCTCGTCCGGCGCCTTCCATTCAGCACTCTGGTTTTTCGTTTCGGGATCAAATTGAAAACACCACGTTTAGCAACCAGTCCAAATCTTGTAAGGGAAGCTCGGGTCTTTTTTTTACCTCGTTAATGATGTCCTACGAATGTTGAATTTATAGCAATTTTTGGTCGTCAGTCAATTTGTGCGGAACTATTCGTGCACACACCTTTTGTAAGCCCAAATGTTCGGTCAAAATGCGATAAATCGATGTTTTGGAAATGTTCAATTCTATTTCCATGAAGATTTCGGCTGATTTTTTATGAATTCACGCACAGTTTCGATGGAGTTTTCGGTGATCACGGATTTTGGTTGGCCCACATGTCCATCGGCGTTTATGTCCTCGCGACCACTTTAAAAACGTTGAAACCACTCGTGCGCTGTGCTACGGGATAGGCAATCATCGCCATAAAATTGTTTCATCAATTGAAACGTTTCGGTAATAGTCTTAGCAATTTTAAAACCAAATTTAATGTTCGCTCTTTGTTCGAAGCTCATTTTCGCACCGAGGACGAAAACGTACTGACACTTAAAACGCAATAACTTCACTTAGAATATATGAAATGTCATGAAATTTTTACTGGAAGTCGATAAAGGATAGCAGATTTTAACGCATAAACGGCATATGGATGGCACCACTAGAGGGCGCTAGATTCAAAAAGTCCTGTTTACTTTGGAACTCAACTTGTGTATTAGATCAAGTAAAAATTAATCCATTATTTTTGCAATAGATAACTTTACGTGCTATAACTGCGATTAAATTACGCTAAAGGACATTAGAAAGTTGATATTTTGAACTAAAAAAGAAAACGAGAGAAGTTTGACCACCCAACTCAGTAGAGTTGGAGCTCAAGTCATCTTCGATAAAGGCGAAAACCGCAAGCCAGGCAGCTCAACATTTAAATAGTGTTTATGATTCTGATACTGTAATAATCAAGCATGCACAATTTCGCTTTCGTCGATTTTATTCCAGTAATTTTGATGTAAAAGATGCTCCATGCTGTTGCAGGTCAATTGTCGAAAATTTCGATAAAAAAATGAAAATCGGCGAGTCTGTCACATAAAAAGGCAGTTTCGAACCACTTGAAAAAAGGCTAAACCAACTAAGAAGCTCGATGTATTGGTGGCACATGAATTGACGAGAAAAAGCCACATGAACCGAATTTCCATCTGCGAATCGCTGCTGAATCGTACCAAAATCGAAACATTTCTGAAAGGGACGGTGAATGGTTGAAGTTTGCATTTTTTTTTTTTAATTACAAACGAATACTGAAAAATTTTAAATTTGCAAAACTACAAAAAACCCGTAGAGCGCTTAAGATGATTCTTAATTGAAGTGTTTTTTTAGCAGTTCTGTAATTTGTATTTATTTACACAAATTTTTCCTCGTACATTGACGGGACACTCTAATGGGCATCGCTAGAGAAATTCACCAAACTAGAGATTTTCGAGTCGAAAGTGATGTATTGGGTTATTGCGTTCTCGCAAATTTAATAGTAAATTATTTTAAAAATAAATTATTTCAACTAAAATTTTCAAAAGTTAGTTGAGCTTGAACTCTAATATTTGCACTTCTACTTAATGATTTTCAAATATATTTTATTCGAAACACAAATATTACTGAAGCAATAATTAATATATTTTTCGAAAACGTGAATATCTTGAAAAGTAATTTATTTGACAAATTCCGCTTCATAACACCACTTTGGAACTAAAATTGTTTATGGAAATCTTCTATCATCTCAAAAATATAATAATAATAAAAAAAAGTAAACATCTCTAACTGAATATTTATAACACTTTAAACATGAACTTGATTATTTTATAGTATCACCATATACAAAAGAAGAAAAATAAAAAATAAAAAAAAACACTTCCTTGTTTGTTGTTTGAATGCTGTTGTTTGTAGAATTTATTTCTTTATTGACTTGTGTGACATTTGGAATAAACAATTCAAATCAAATACAGCAACACACAAATACAACAACAACTGCGTGCTCGTATCTTTATTTTTTATGTCCCAATGAAAGCTAAACATTTAGTTAAACAGGAAGATTTTGTATGCAACAAAACCAGTTATTAACAAATAAACAATTGAGTATAAGTGGCAAATGTTTAATTAAAAAATTAATACATTCTGAATGTTTGAAGAGCCCTCCTCGTCCCAGCCGTACCTGCTAAGCCATTCATGACCACATCAAGAAGATACTTTTTTGAGGGATTTTTTCCAAAACCATATATTGGGCCGGTAAAAAGTTCGTTCGGGTTTTAACTAAGAGATGGCTTTTTTGTTCATAGTACTAGTATAACGTGTCGTACTATACGGCGCTGAAAACGTGTTTATTCGCGCTAAAAGTTTATTTTTGACAGGTTTTGGGTTAATTAAGTCAGTACGTTGTGAGCGCTCGTCAAAAATGGCTAACACAAAGCAGAAAATTCGCTTATTTTACAATTTTTCTTCGATCAAGGCGAAAAGGCAGCCAAAGCGGCTAAAAAAAACTAATTTAGCTTATGTGTCCGATACTGTAAACATGCGTGTAGTACAAAAGTGGTTTTCTAGTTTCTGTTCCGGTAATTTCGATGTCAAAGATGCAGCACGCGTCAGGAAGCCTGCCGTCGAGAATTGCGATGAGATCTTGGAAATAGTGGAAACAGACCGTCACGTGAGCATTTATTTAATTGCTGAGGAACTAAAGACAAGACAGGACACAGTTTGGAACATGAAAAATGATGGACCGAATTTACATCTGCGAATCGCTGCTGAATCGCGACCAAATCGACCAGTTTCTGAAGCGGATTGTGACTGGCAATAAAAACTGGGTCACTTCGACAACATCGAGCGCAAACGGTCGTGGTCAAAGCTCGGGAAAACGGCCCAAACGCTGGCCAAGCCCGGATTGACGGCCAGGAAGATTTTACTGGATAGTTGGTGGGATTGGCAAGGAATCATCTGCAACGAGCTGCTCCCCTATGGCCAAACGCTCAATTCGGCCCTCTACTGCCAACAAGTGGACCGCTTGAAGGCAGCACTCATCCAGAAGAGGCCATCTCTGATCAGCAGAGGTCGAATTTTTTTCCATCAGGATAACGCCAGGCCACACACGTCTTTGGTGACGCGCTAGAAGCTCCATGAGCTCGGATGGTAGGTCCTAATGCACCCATCTTATAGTCCGGACCTGGCACCAAGTGATTATCAACTTTTCCTGTCCATGGCGAACGCGCTTAATGGTGAGAAGTTGGTCTCAAAAGCGGCTTCGAGTTTTTTGCCAATAGGTACGCAGCCTTCTATGAGAGGGGTATAATGAAATTGGCATTTCGTTGGCAGCAACGAACTTTTTACCAGACCAATATATGACAATAAAAAAATCGGTTTTCTGGAAGCTATACGATATAGCCATCCGAATTCGATGAATTTGAGCGACAAGTCTACATAGGGTTATCCAGTTTGATACATTAAAATTATTTTTTTTAAGGAAGTCTATTTTTATTATGAAATTTGAACCTTCACACTATAGTATGTGCAACACTACATCATCCAATAGAACGCTTCACGCATTTTTGCAAACTTCACTCGGTTCGAAGTAATTTTTGACCACTTTTTGGCCCATTTAGAACAGTGGCTAAGCCATAACTATAGTTAGTTTTCAAGTGCTCAAGAGTTAAATTTTTATCCGCATAAATACGGTCTTTCGCGTAGCCTCACAGAAAAAAAAAAGAAAAAGATCGGTGACTAATTGCCATCCCTAGGACCAGAGTTTACACAGATGGGAAATTTCTATCGCAATAAAACCATATTGAAACCATATATTGTCCAAGACAAGTTCTTTACTTGCGGACTAAAATAAAAGTTGACAATCATCGACCATAACGCGCCGAATCGACAATGGCAGTCTCGCCGTTGTCA